ATGTTAAGGCAGCAAAGGAGACACATACAGTATGGAGGCAGAGATGCCAAGCTATGTTACAGTAGTCTTGATATTCTTGCTTACGATGGTTCTTTTTTTTCCTTAGATTTATTTTTTAAAGTTATCCTGTATGCTTGCTATGAAGGTGTGGACCATCAGCATTAGCTGAGACACTTGGTAGATATGCAGAATCTCAAACCCCACCCCAGACCAGCTAAATCAGAATATACATTTCAACAGGACTCCCAGCTGGACTCATACGCAATAACATTTGGAAAACACTGCCTAATGTCACTAGTTAACAGAGGTGGCACCATCACTTAATGGGAAACACGTATTACTCTAGTTTATCACTTAATTTTTTTCGCATTTTTCACAAAATATTATCTCTGAACTTGAGATACATCTTACAATCAATGAAAAGAGTATGATCGTTAGCAGCATTTTTTCCCCTTTATTTCTGGAACACAGAGTAGTTTTTCTTACAGCTGACAGAATTTTAGATTTTGATAAAGTAATATTCTTAAAAATAAGCATGTAATTATTAAAATTAAGAAATATTTACCTAACGTCATTTGTGTCTGACCAGCAGGACGATGCCATGGTTTCAGAAAGACTGGCTTTTAGAAAGCAATATAATGCTTTAAACCAGTGTTTCCCAAACATCACTGTGTTTGAAGCCCTTGGGAAAAATTCACGTTCCCCAGTCCCAGCCAGAGAGATACTGTTATGGTTTTGATCTTCCAGCACTTTGGCTACCACCTTTAAGTCGAGCTAAAAAACATAAGGTCATAAACTTGTAACCTGACAAGATTCCCCTGTGCTATAAAGCAACCACACTCAGAGCGTGGCCATGGATCCTTGGAGATCCCTAAGAATTTTTCAGGAGGTACATGAGGTCAAAACAAATACCCAGGTGCTATTTGCCTTCTTCACACCTAATGATGCAAAAACAAGGATGGATAAAACTTCTGGTGCCTTATTACAAATCTAGGCATGGCACCAAATTGTATTAATAGTCATTATATTCTTCACTGCCATTCACTGACCCTGAAAAAGAATTTTTTAAATTCAAACACAGCTTTACTTAAAAATGACTTAAAGTTTGCAACAGTAAAAATTGTTTTTTTTATACCTCAATTCTTGTATTCACATGTTTATAATAGTCTATGTGATGAAATGGCAGGTCCACGTAAGCACTCCCACTGCACACCAGAACCTGATGGTTGTCTTGAGGAAACACACGTGTGCATTTGTTTGAGTTGCAAGATACAATAACCACTTCATTCACGAAGCACCATTTTCACTTGAAAAACTAGGGTTTTTGGACACACTAGAGATTTGGATATTTGGCAGGCATTTCCTCGAAAAGGAATGAAGTGTGCTTATCATTTCAAGGAAAACAACTGACAGTACTCTTTGCTAATGACGTATTTGAGCTTTCCAGCATAAATTAGAATTTTGGAGAACTTATGTGTACCACCACTAGCTTGGCAACTTCCTAATACTGAAAGAATTTTCTAATGAGATCAGTGGCAATATTAATGATTGTGATTGTTTTCTATTTTATAATGAAATGTGTCAAAATTTAGAAGTTATGTATAATCCAGTGAGCCAATATTTTCCAAATGACTCACATATGGTATTCATGCATGGGAAAAAGATCCATTCAAAGTTCAAATACTGGCCAATGGATTATAATTTAACAGAGTACAAAATATTTGTGATTATAGTTTCAGATTTCACATTTCAACTAGCCTTCAAGAAACTACCACTGGTCAAGTTTTCATATAATATCTGAGAAGAATATCCACAATTATTTGAAAAGGTGACTAAAATGCTCTTTCCTTTTCCAAATTACATAATTGTATAAGGCTGGATTTTCAATATTACTTAAACAACAGCAAAAATAACAACAGACTGAAAAGAGAATCAGACATGAAAATACAGCTGTCTTGTATTCGGCAGACATTAAAGAGAGTTACAAACATGAAAAGCAATCCTACTCTTGTCAAATTTTTTCGATTTGGGAAAATACAGTCATTTTCACAAAAATACGTGAGTCACATTAACATGTCATGAATTTGATAGTAATTTCAAATGAATTAATAAGTATTTTTAAATGTCCTCCATTTTAATTTCTAGTGTGGTACATATCAGTAGATATGACTTACATAAACCAAAGCCGGTTGGATTCTCAATCATTTTTAAGAGTAAAGGGGTCCTGTAAGGCTCAACGTTCAAGAACCCCTGCTGTAGTAAAACCCACTTAAAAGCACAGCACTAGGGACCCCCTTCAGAAATGGGAAAAGCAAAATGGATGAATTCTCCCTCATCTGCCACATAGTAACTGGGAAAATTTAAACCAGGGCCAGGGGCCCTCTTTGTGGGTGCTGTACTGAATTCCCATCTCTCACTATGCAAACTTATCCTCCGTTCAGCAGAGCCTCTGGCCAAAATAAACCTGAACGGTAACTTACCTGAATAAGGCCCAGAGGGAAGCACAGGCTTCTCTTTCTGTAGGAGTGGAACCCCACAGCAGAATGGCAGAATTGCAGGAAGGGACCCTGAACAACAGCTACCAATGAAGAGCAGTTTCAGAAAGGGTAAACTGGGGCTGCATGACGTCCACGTATGAAGCATGAAATGTTCAACTCACCCACTTTTTTTTATGTTACTATTTTAGATGATTATTATTATATTTATTATTGTATTTATTTTACTTTTTTTTGTTTTTTTGAGAGGGCATCTCTCATATTTATTGATCAAATGGTTGTTAACAACAATAAAATTCTGTATAGGGGACTCAATGCATAATCATTAATCAACCCCAAGCCTAGTTCTCATCAGTCTCCGATCTTCTGAAGCATAATGAACAAGTTCTTACATGGTGAACAAGTTCTTACATAGTGAATAAGTTCTTACATGTGAACAGTGCAAGGGCATTCATCACAGAAACTTTCGGTTTTGATCACGCATTATGAACTATAAACAATCAGGTCAAATATGAATATTCGTTTGATTTTTATACTTGATTTATACGTGAATCCCACATTTCTCCCTTATTATTATTATTATTTTTAATAAAATGCTGAAGTGGTAGGTAGATGCAAGATAAAGGTAGAAAACATAGTTTAGTGCTGTAAGAGGGCAAATGTAGATGATCAGGTGTGTGCCTGTAGACTATGTGTTAATCCAAGCTAGACAAGGGCAATAAAACATCCACGGATGCAGAAGATTTCTCTCAAAACAGGGGGGGGTGGGGTTCTAAGCCTCACCTCTGTTGATCCCCAATTTCTCACCTGAGACTGTGCCTGTCTTAGGTTGTTCCTCCCTTGAGGAATCTTACCCATCTCTGGCTAACCAGTCATCTTTCGGGGCCATACAGGGAAATGTAAAGTTGGTAAGTGAGAGAGAAGCCGTATAGTTTGAAAAGGTTAGCTTTTTACTTCTTTGCAGATTTATGCCCTGTCAACTCACCCACTTTTAATAGGGAACAAAAAGGCTTTTAAAAAGCACGAACTTTTCTTAAGAGAGAGATGGGAAGACACGTGTGTATGTAATTTAACTCTATGTTATGGTCAGTCACAGGAGAGTTTGTGGGAAGTTTGAAGGAGAGAAAGGGACAGGGGAAGAGATGTGGATAAAAGAAGGAGAGGAGTCAGGGGAACCCGAGCCAGAGGGAGTGGGAAAAGCAAATGCAGATGCGGAAGAGGAATCCTGAAGCCACACACTGGCAGGAGCCTTAGAAATGAGCAAAGCGCACTTCTTCATTTCAAGTGAAATAGACAGGGGCCCAGAGAAGTTAAGTGGTTTGACCAAGTTCAGGAATGGCTAGGACTCTAAGCCAGATTTTCTAGCTTCTAAGCAGCAAAAACATGCAAAGAGAAGGACTTTGGTCTGGGGAGAGAGAGGAGGGAGGGGAGCAGGGGCAAGAGAGGCAGAGGTAGAAAGACCCTTCAAACGCGCACGAGGGCATGCACACCAGGCAGTGAGTTTCTGAAGCACATGTTAATCTAATTAAACACTGTTTGTCACATCCTGACACTGCCACATAACAACGGAAGTTTGGAAACCACTGCTCTGGCCCAATACTGCTCAGCTCTGCTAAACGCAGAAATCCCCGGGTGGGGGGAGCCTTGTTGAAATGCATATTCTGATTCTGTGTGCTGGGGTGGGTCTGAGGTTCTGCATTTCCACCACATTCCTGGGGGATGCTGAGACAACAGGTTCAAGGAACACACTTGTAGGGGGGTCTATGCCAGCAGTGCTTAGATGTGATCCCTGGACCAGCAACGTCAGCATCCCCTGGGAACTTGCTGGAAATGCATGTTCTCAGAGCCCAGCCCAGACTTCCTGAATCAAGAACTTCAGGGTTGGAGCCCAGCAATCTGTGTTCTAACAATTGCTCCAGGTAACTGTGGTGTGTATTAAAGATTGAAATCATTGCCTCAGGCCATAATGCCTGCCATCACTTGGTTACCTATAATTTGCTAACAAGTGTTGCAATACTTCATGCTCAAGTCTTCACTTTTCATTGGCATGTCTGAAATCTCTACTAGGAATTATCACCATTCCAATATTCTTTTCAGATACCCTTAAAATTTTGGGGTGACACAGAGCTCACAGGGCTCAAACATGATAGGTAATTAACTTCCTGAGGCCTCCCTTTATTGGCACCACCTTGGCTTCCTCTAATTGGTTCAGACTTTCATCCTTCGGAACCACAAACTAAGAGAGATTCTCAAAATCAACACTCAGAGATGAAACAATGCCTCAATCATTTCTCTTGGAGTAAAACATCCCCTTCAGCCCATTCCCACTTGCCCACTCTAAGCCCTTAGGCTTGGTCCTAGGTTCCGCAGAATGAAGGTTAATCCCAGTAGCTTTTGAATCTGGCCCCTGCCTGAATGGAAATAACAGACTGGCATCCTTTGGATTCAGGAGCTGCCCCGGCTCCAGACTCAGCAATCCCCTGGTCTTCCCAGCCCCCTGCAGCCATGAACTTTGACGCAGAGATGGCCATTTTTGAAGAAACAGCTCCCTACCTGCGGAAGCCAGAGAAAGAGAATGGAGGCTTAGAATCACCCTTTGGATTCTAAGAAAGCCTGCTTTGCACTGGATGATAAAGAATTTTATGTGAAAGGTATGATCCAGAGCAGGGAAAATGACCAAGTCACAGTCAAGACCCTCGATGACCGGGTAAGCGTGGATCTCAGATGTCCCTGATAATAAAGCCATCTTCTTTTTCCTTTGTGCATGCTGGCCCATCGGAACCTACAGACAGACAGCTCACGTTTGTCTACTCTGGAGTGAAGTAGCTCGTGGAAACTAGCATTGCATACACCTTGGCTCCTACCCCTTTCTTTCTCTGAGGGCTTGGACTTTGAGAGTTTTTGCAGTGTTTGCTTTGGAGAAGGAGGAAGGTGTGGGTGGTAGGTGCCAGGCTATGTAAGGGAGAGATTGATGCTGCCTGCTCCTGAGTGGACTGACCAAATACAGCTCTCCAGGCCGCAGAGTGCTATACAGAGGCAGCTGCGGGGCGATGCCTAGTTTAATGTAGAGAATTACAGGACACTGTCCAATTCAATATTTACTGGACACCCACTGCGTCTAGTTCACTGTGTTCATCACTTTGCACATACAAGCAAATCTCACCACCTGCTTTCCCTAAGTTTACCTTCCAGTGTAGGAATCGAGATCTACGTGGCAGGTATGAATCTCAGTTCCCAAACTCAGGCATATGAGACTGATCTTTTCATTGCCATTGCTATTGAACTTAACCTTTGATTTCAGCCTCTTTCTTCTGGACTGGAAATGAATTTTCTTTGGTCATTCTTGGGGTCTCCCCCAGGGTTTGTGCCAGTTTCAGAACCTTACACAATACCACACTGGATCTCAGTGCCTTCCTGAAGGGTTTGCTAAGAAACAAATCACAGAGCCTGAAGCTCCAGGATACACAGACTTTACCATCTCCCCTTATGCTGTCTTGAGTGTCTCTCCCTCTAGGATAGGGAAGTGGGGTGGAAAAGTCTCCTTTCCTCAAGTGATTTGGTCCTATACCAACAAATCCCCTTCCTTTTATTTTTTTAGTAAATCCCTCAAAGCTCTTCTAAGGACTTAAGCTTTTAGGAAAACAAAAGCCAGAGAGCCTTATATGTTCTTTTTCTTTTTTGTCCTATTCTATCTCTCCTGAGTAATGGAGTTAAGGGCCAGCTGTATGCTTGAATGAGGGAAACAGGGGAAAAACACAGAGGAGGAAAATTAAGTAATAGTCTCAAAATATTGTTCAGTTATGGGCCATACATACTGCAAATCCAAATGTTTTAACTATCAGAGCATATCAGGAATTCTGGAAGCCTTGAAAAGACAGGAGAGAGAGAAATAGGCCATGGAAGAGGTGGCACTTGAGTGGAACTTTGAGGGTTTCTGGACATAATTTCAATGAAGATACTCCAGACAAAGGAACCCGCATGAGCAGAGGTGCACAATACATTGGAGTAGTAGCTCTTTCCAACCTTCCAACATTTGTCTTATCGCAGCATTCATAGAAAATGGGGTAAACAGAGGCAACCTGCCCTGGCCTTGGCCATCCTGAGTCCCACTTGGCCACCCTGAGGGCTGAAGTGCTCTCTCACTCTGCACGCCTGTAACGGACTCCTGGAAAACAGGATGGCACACTGACTGGGGGGCATCAGACCTCAATCAGTCATGCAGTTTGACCAGAATGAGATTAATCAGTATAGTTATTTGTGGATCATCTCTGGGCATGGAAATGATCTATAAAGTTATCCATGATAATGGGGTGATTGCACCACAATATAGTACGACTTCCACCACATTGGTAGAATGGGGTTGGGATCATAGGCTGTCCCCTTCATTACGTGCTCTTCCTCTCAATACCCAGACACTCACTCTGAACAGTGACCAGGTGTTCCCCATGAACCCTCCCAAATTCAACAAGATCGAGGACATGGCCATGATGACCCACCTGCACGAGCCCGCGGTGCTGTACAACCTCAAAGAGCACTACACAGCCTGGATGATCTACGTGAGCGCCCTTCAGCATCTCTTCACTCCGTTTCTCTGAGTAAAAACAAAATCCACATGTTGCATTTTCTGATTGGCCACTCAGACCTACTTGGGCCTCTTCTGGGTCACCATCAACCCCTACAAGTGGCTGCCAGTGTACAACCCCAAGGTGGTGGCTGCCTACAGAGGCAAAAAGCGCCAGGAGGCCCTGCCCCACATCTTCTCTGTCTCCGACAACACCGATGCTGACTGGTGAATGATTTCTTCAACCCATATTTTTTAGAAATAGTTTTTAGTTAATTCAAGTCCTTTACAGTGGATGGGTTCTTGTTAATTATTCGAGCCCTTCACAGGCCTTGGTCACCTGAATGGTGCAGTGATCAGTGAAGGAGACTGAAATGATTTCACAATGGAAAACCACAGGTGTCATTTCTTCCATTCCCACTCATGGTGCATAAGCCAGTGCTCATGACTGAAGCCACACTAAGCACATGCTTATTTGGGGGGAATGTGGAATACAAGGAGATGCCCTGTTCCCACCTCCAAACCCCCACCCCCACCCCAGTATGGTCACACTTGGAAGAGAGACTCTATTAATAGCCACCTGAGAATGCAAAGTTGGAGAAATGGGCATAGCAATGTCCTTCCCCTGCCTTCTTCCCCAGATTCAGACTCCTCATTCTCCTCCCTAAATTTCCAGAACAGCACAGTAAATAGACATGTGGTGATACTGTCACACCATCATGCCTAATGTCACTTTCTACTGTTCAGCTGTCACATTAATTGGTGCAGATACAAGAAGTAGAAGCGAGCATCTGAGATCTGAAGACACTTTAAAGTCATCTACTACCTCCTATTTTCTTGCTAACCTTAAAGCAAGGAACGCCAACTTCAAGCATTTTTCTTCACTTTGAAAATCTCATTCATGGCTACTTATGTTAAAAAATTGATGTGCATTTTTTTGTAAGTAATCTACTGTAGTGTTGCCCAAACATCAGTCATTCCTCTCTCACATTTATAATCCTAGCCATTTCCATGTACTTAGTACTTTTTTTCAAATTGACTGAAGTTACATCAGTTTTAAAAGGAAGATTCATATCGCCATTTATATTAGTGTCCTAGGGCTGCTATAAGAAAGTACCACAAACTGAATGGCTTCAACAACAGAAATTTATTGTTTCACAGTTTTGGAGGCCAAAAGCTCAAGATCAAAGTATTAGCAGTGTGATTCCTTCTTTGAGCTGAGAGGGAGTATTGGCTCCATGCCTATCTTGGCTTTCAGTGGTTTGCTGGCAATTTTTGATGTTCCTTGGCTCATAGAAGCATCAGCCTGATCCCTACCTTTATCTGCACCTGGTGTTCTGTCTGTACATATCTGCCTCCAAGTTTCCCTTTTTTGACAAAGACACCAGTCATATTGGATTAGGGGCCCATATTCCAGTATGACCTCATCTTAACTAGGAACATCTGCAATGGCCTTATTTCCAAATGAAGTCATATTCTGAGGTGCTGGGGGTAAGGAATATGAATCTTGGGGGACACAATTCACCCCATAAACTGATGCTAATGGAAAACAATTATCACTTTGCACAACTACAAAGTAAGGTAAAAGAAAAATGCAATGACAACCAATCAGCATCCCTAAATTCTAATAGGAAGCTATGGCTTTCCACAAGCTCTGAGTCTGAGACTTGCCTTCTTTGCTACAAAGGGAGATGAGGAAGTGCAAGCAAGGCAGGAAGGATCTCTGAGCAAGAGTAACTTTCACTCTGTGGGATTCACCATTCATTTCCCGAGCTGCCCATATTACACACCCCACATCTGGGAAATCTGCACAGATGGTCTCAAAGAGCAGACTTGTCCAAATCGTCCCACCCACCGGTTAATGGGAAAGCCAGAATTGGAACTCATGTACTCTAACCACCCCCGATGTAGCCCTGTTTTTATATTCTGTGTGTTTGCTGTTTATTTATTTATTTTGTTTGGCTTCCCTCTGCATTTCTAGATCAAGACAACCAGTCCATCCTTATCACGTGAGTAACCTGTGTCGGCATGGTGATGACTTGGAAGCCAGTGCCATCTCTTCCACTCTCCTTTATCTCATTTACTTTTAAACCAATAGTGGAGAGTCTGGGCCTGGGAAGACGGTGAACACCAAGCATGTTATCCAGTACTTTGCAACAATCGCAGTCACTGGAGACAAGAAGAAGGAGCCACAGCCAGGCAAAACACAGGTGAGCAACCCCTGCACCCAGAGGCTTGCTGGAATAAGTGTAACTTAAAATACTGGGTGAACCCTGAGTATATACACAGCTCTGTACTCAGAAGAGATGCACGGCACAAGGTCTTGCCCCAGGGTGTCCCTGGAGCAAGGCAGGCAGGAGTTCCACCTAGTGGACTCAGGCTCAGACCAGCTCCATCAGCAACAGCCTAGGAACCCTGAGCAACTCCACGTCCTTCTCAGGGGAAGGAATGGTTTAGGCCAGTGACTCTCAAACTGAAGCGCATATCAGAATGAGCAGGAAGGCTTGTTAACAACCCACCACTGGGCTCCAGACCCCGAATTTCTGATTGAAATTCCTGTCTCACACAATCCTGACATTTTGCTTTTCGAATGTGTTCCCACTGTCCATGCTGCTGGTCCAGGGATCCCTGGACTTTGAGAAACACCGGACTGGATAATATGTTCCAAATGCTCTGGAGCCAGAAGAACAGACAGTCATGGGGATAAGGGGACAACTCTGATTTCTGTAAGAGGACTCTGAGCAATCATTCTCATGAAATGTGTTTTGCTACTTAAAATTTTTTTTAAGAACCACTGTTTCTATCATATAATTTTTTGGGTCACTTTTCTTGCTCACATTCTACTTACATTTCAGAAGCCAAATGCCTATATTAAATAGATCAGATGCCTGCAGTAAGAGAGGTGTATGTTCTCAAAATCCATGATTTATAATGAAATGTTACCAAGGAAGACAGTCTGAGAAACCAAGATGGAGCCTGGAATTTAGTCACTCTAACGCTGTACTGATTAGACCCTCTCCAGGATGGGACCTCAGAGACTTCTCTGGTGGGTGGGAGTGGGGCTGGGGGTACTCCACACATATGCACTGGCCAACAGGCTGAGCTGGTCGACATCTCTCCCAGGACCCTGTCTGCAGTAACCACACTTCCAAGTCACCAAGGGACTTCTTCGGAGAACAGTCCCAAGTCCTCTCTTTTCCTCTTCTTGTTAATGGTCAGGGGACCCTGGAGAATCAGATCATCCAAGCCAACCCCTTGCTGGAGGTTTTGGAAATGCCAAGACCATGAGGAATGACAACTCCCCAAGATTTGTAAGAACCAGTCCAATTTTTAGCTACCCCCAAAACCAAACGCTCTCTTCAAGTGCTGGATATGAAAAATCGCTGCAGAAATTAGAATAACCCAGCCTTATTCTACCCCCAAGCCATTCAGATCAATCTATCCAGTTGAGATATTCTGATATACTTTGAAGAATGTGTTGGCTTGATCTTGCAGAGAGAGGATTTAGCCATCCTCCCCTAACTAGTCAACATCACCTCAACACATCCTCACATCACAGGGAGTCAAATTCCACAAGTAGAGAGCAATTCCTTTACGCTAAAATTGGTCTCTCTGGATAAAAAAACAATGTAAATGCAGGAATCCATTAAACAATAGCCATTGATTTATTAGCCATGGAAACCTTAATGTGAATTGAATTAGTAGATTTGAACTCCCCCATGTCAGGAGGCATTAAAAACGGGAAACCTGGCAAAGGCAGATGAGCTAAAAAATTGGAAATAAGTTGATATTGTAAATATTGAAGGATATGCCCTTTCTTTCAGCATTTCACTTAGAATTAGCTCAGCCAAAGAGGCATATATGCCCAAATGACGAAACATCCAGCCCTCTACTGAATTCACTGCTCAGTGGAGCAGGAACAAAGCCCTCCTATGCCAGCAGTAACAAAAGCACATCAAAAAATCACACCTCTCAGTAGCTGAGTAATCTCAAGCTTGCATTTTGTTGTTACCTCTCAAAGATAAAAGGGTCATTGATGAGAAAGGAGATGTGTCCATCAAAGACTATGGCTCAGAATCCTGACTTTCCTTTCTTTCCCTTGGTCCTCTCTGCACATCTGTCTTCCCAGTGCACAACTAAACTCTACCTTGTAGGGGATCTGGGTGCGTGTTACACAGCAGAGATATATTACCCATACTTGGATACATTAACCTGGCATTGGTGTCGAGTAAAGACATGCCTTCAGGCACTCCATTTATTTAGTCTGTTGGCCTCTTCTGTGATCCTGACTAAAGTCACAATCATTCTGGTTATTCTGTCCACCTTACACCCTACAGACAAACATCTGTAGGCCAGCATCCTGTCCGCCTCCACTAAGCAGCTGAAAACACTGAAGACCCAGCGCTTAACACTCACACCTCCCTCCACTACCCTGACAGGGACTCTCCTTATGCTTCATTCAGAAAATGATGAGATTCCTGAGCACTGACTACATTCCAGACTGTGGATGAACAAACAGGGCAACTCAGACCCTGAGTGGGTCTTTTGGGAGCCGGGGAGCCTGGCCTGAGCCTGGGAGTTAAGCTTGCCAATAGGAAGCAGTAAGGGAAATGGAGACAAGAAATCTTTATTATCACGGGGCCCTTTATTTTCCTTTTATTACCAGGCAAAAAAGAAGTCAGGCCGTTGGTCCTACAGGTTATCAGAGATGTTCTGAAGAGCTTGAGAAGCCAGTTACAAGAGAGGAGGATAAAAACCAAGGAGACCGCAGAAGATGGGTGGGAAGGGAGGCATAAGGGTGGGGGGAAGAAAGGGGCATTATGATTAGCATGTATAATGTGGGGTGGAGGCACGGGGAGCGCTGTGCAACACAGAGAAGACAAGTAGTGATTCTACAGCATCTTACTACACTGATGGACAGTGACTGTAATGGGGGTTGTGGGGGGGACTTGGTGAAAGGTTGAACCTAGTAAACATAATGTTCTTCATGTAATTGTAGATTAATGATACCAAAATAGAAAAAAAAATACACAATGTAGTAAAACTCCTTTACAGCATGATGGATAGCAGGCTCACTAGGAAGTCTTTTCCAGCAGATTTCAAGTCGTTAAAACAATTAAATGCTTGCAAAATGTACTGCTATTCCAGTGGAATGGTTTCTTGTGAGGGGTAATAGGCAAAATAAATAAATGAATGAATGAATAGATAGATAGATAAATGAATGAATGAATTAATTAATTAATTACATAACGACCAGGCCTAAGTTAACTGATGTTTATTTGATCGTGAACATTTTCTTCTTGCCTTAAGGCAGTTAGCGGCACCTCGAGAGGTCACAAAATGAAGCTCAAGAACCCGGGCACTGGGCAATGCCCCTAGGATGCTGGACAAGACCCCTTTCTGCAAGCTCTCACAGCTTCTGTGCGGGGTAGAGAGTAATTGTATTTTAGTTAATAATACAAACCCTGGGGTTGGGCCTCTGGGTTCAAACAGCCTGTCACTTACAAAGTCTGTTTTCAAGCAGATTGTGTATTTTTTCCTAAGGCTTGGCTTCTACCTGTGAAACAAGGGCAATAGGGGGTCCTATCCCAGAAGGTTCTTTGAGGCTCAAATTAGATAATGCAGGCAAAGCCACTCACCTCAGTTCCTAGCACATTGGAGGGTCCAATGCATTTAGTTATTAGTCCTGGAGATACAGCTCAAAGCTAAGGATCAAAGGGCCTGACTGGCGTGCTGAGGAGCTGGGTCCTAGCAGGAGTCTGAGGGGCAGATCAGCAGCTACAGAGTGCGGGTGTTTCTCCTGCTTTTTTCTTCTCTGAATTTTCTAAAGTTTCTTAAGAAACTGTGTAGGTGATTTTGTAAGGTGATAGGTTCCAACGAAACCTTTAAAAAACTTAAACGTGTGAAAATTTACTCTAAAATGCTAGAGCAGAGAACTGAAGGGCTGTTTTGGAGAACCTCTGTGTTCCCCCTTTGACTGTTCTGACACAGCTCAGTGGGGAGGGCTGGGATCTGTACTGACCCTCTGAGATCTTGAGCCTAATCACTCAGCCTCTCTGGACCCCAGTTTTCTCATTAGACCACCAAGCAGCCTCTCAGTTCATAAACTCGATAATTTGATGCTTAAAGAAAGAAACAAAATGCCTACGTCAGAGGCCCGCAGCTCTTCACCGTCATTAATGCTGGCTTCTCCTCGGCTCACAAAGGGGAAGTCGAAGGGATTGGTTGAAATGAGAAGCAGGTCTGTGAAACACGAAGATCCCTTTAGCCTTTCATGCATGACTTACTCAGCGCTTTTTTCCAGTGTGACTGATGTGGGTGATGTGAACAATATCCTAAGAACTTACCAATTAGTTCTGGTTTCTTGTTTGATATGATTTGATAAAAAATATGATAGCTTCTCTCACTGGATAACTGAAATGTCACTCTGGATTTTTCTAAGAGATCTAAAGTAACAAAAAATAATGTGATTTCAGGTTCACCGGAGATGCTTGTCTGGTCAAATACCAAGGTGCCAAACAAGAGTGTTTGGACTCACAGGTTTCAATGTCCGCCCATGCCAGCTTTCCTGTGGCTCCAAAATGAATCCAGATGAACTTCCCCTGTCCAATGGCAGATTGACAAACCCAGTTATTTTATTTGTAGAGCATGATGGCTGGCCTCTGCTAGGTGCTCGCACAGATGGGTGGGAAGTGTAGCCTCGGGAGGAAGAGATGTGAGAAGCGTGAGGACTTCCCTCCTGTCCCCTGGCACCCAGAGTCTCCCACGCCTCAGCAGGCCCCGTCCAAGGCGCCTGGGCCTGTTCCTAAGGTCTGGGGTCGCCTCTCCAGCAGCCTGTTTGGGACCACCTCACTCAGACAGTCTCCTTGGTTTTTTTTTTTTTTTACATAAAGAACATTATGTTTACTAGGCTCCCCCCTTCACCAAGTCCCCCCAACATACCCCTTCACAGTCACTGTCCATCAGCCTACTAAGATGCTGTAAAATCACTACTTGTCTTCTCTGTGTTGTAGAGCCCACCCCGTACCCCCCCACACAC